AATGTGGTTGCTCTGCTTTCAATTGATGCCCTCATGTTGGGTGTAATGAATGTTAATTTTGAGGCTGCTCAAATTTTCCTACTTGGAAAATATTGGTCTACTCGGTGATGTTAATAAGTGCAAAGTGGGTTGTCTGCTCAGTGAGGTTGATTAATGTAAATGTACTTTAATTTTTAATTTATCTACATCTTATGATAATTAGGTGGGGTTATGGGTTAAATATTTATTTGATGGGTTAAATGCATGTGTGATGATTTTAAGTTTGCATTTCTTGATATTTATTTGCTGATGATTAATTTACAGAAATATATTTTAAAAAATGGGCTTAAGTTATTCAACAAGCTCCAAGGAGACCAAACATCGAGAAATATTTTGTGACTGTAACTCATTATGCGTCGTTTTCACGACTCAGGAAGAAGTAAATGCTGGCAGAAAATTGTACAGATGTCCCAAAAATCTAACTAACAAAGATTGCAAATTAGTGATAGTTGATGAAGAAAGAAATGGGTCTAATGATACAGTAAAGAAGGATCTCGAAAACCTGAAATTTCTTATGAGGATTTTGCTCTTGTTCGATTTTTTTATCATAGCATTTCTGTTGTTGTTGTTGATGTTGTATTTGTTTTGATGTATTTCAAAAGGCAAGTTGTACTACTGTAGGATGTATTAGTTATGGAACTTGTATGTTTGGGTTAATGCAGCTTATGTTGAACTCATGTTTGTATGATTATTTTGGAGGCAAAAAATTGGGTTAGTGTTCTACTTCAATATTTTTCATATTAAGTATTCATCATTGGATTTAATCCAAATAAATGTTAATTTTCACAATCATTTCTTTTTAAACATTAATAAATACCTAAAATTTTAGAAAAAAAAATTATTTTTGTAAAATCTAGGTTTGTTTTTATTTAATAATTTAATTTTTTACTTTACTTTCATATTTCAGCTTACTTGGGTTGCTCAATTAAAAAGGGAGAATTTCATACATTGCAAAAACCCATACTATCTACATAATTCATACTGAGGGGTATTACAGACATTATTTCACAGATAACACTTGCAAAATTAAATTTTTCAAACAGACTAATTATTTATAAAACACAAGTTTTTAAACTGCAAGAGCTATCTATTGATTGTGATAGGCATTTGACTTCAATATTTGTATGTCAACTTCCTTCAATATTTATGTTTGCCCTAGAGTTTATGCTATATAATGAGAGTTGTAATTTGAATATTTAGGAATATGAAAATGTTCTCTCACTTTTTCCTTCAGTTGGATCTCTGATTTGTTCTGTTAAAGGTTTATATGTTTTATCCAGTTGGCAATGAGGGTAATTTCATTTTTGTTGTTATTGAAGCTCTCAGGAATATTTGGTTTATTTATCAGTTGCTAGACTAGGTTATCTATTGGCCTCCTTTGTGCATAGAGCAATGCTAGAGAATTTGGTTAATGGAAATTTATGGGACTTTGTGAGTTAGTGTTAGGTTGCACCTTATTCTTCATTAAATCAGTAATTGTTTTATTAGTTATAATGAGATTGAATGTTTTAGATAGCCTTTCGAAAGACTTTCAAGCACCTTCTAAATGGTAAAGATTTGTTTGGCATGGTGTCAATCACTATTCAAACTATTTTGATGTTATTTGTGGTTTGATTTCCAATACCATGTTTTTTATTTTTTACTTGGAGGCTATCTGGTATTGCAATTTGGAAAGCAAATATGCTAGAAAGGGTGTTCATTTACTTTTTGATATTTAAGCAAAACAAGCAAGCAAATATGTTAGGGATTCTGCTGTAATTGCAAACTTGCAGTTGCAGGAGGGATGATTGAAAGGAGCCTGAGCACGGTGGAGTTCAAGTTTTAGAGCATGAGGGTGAAGCCATGGGAGGGGGAGCAGATTCATGAGATTGGGTTAGAGGATGGAGTTCGAGTTTTAGAGCATGAGGGTGAAGCCATGGGCAAACATAAATAAAACACAAGTTTTCAATATTTGTAAGTCAAACTCTAGAGAAAACATAAAAATGAAATTACCCTCAATAACCACTAACTTAGTGTACTGATGGACCGAGTGTCACCTCCCTTCAACTTCCTTTTTCCCATTTTTGGTTCGAGAAGGCACAACCTTTTTCTTGTACATTTCTCTAGTTGGGATATGTTAAATTTCCCAACCACTGAAGGAGGATCCAAGGAAAGAACACAGCTTCCAGTCCTTGATTTTATTTTTTCAGGTCAAGCCGTTGGACCTTACCAACCGAGCTAAGATGAATGTAGCTGCCTTGATCGACCCTGAATGAAAATACATAAGTAAAGAGCTCTAGTGTCCATGAATCCACATTCAATGGTATAAATTACGTATGCTATTACATCGACTATTGAGTTGGGCTTAATCTAGCTGAAATCACTTTGTAGTGATTAAAGATCGACATTTGACTTCAATCTCTATTGGCCTCACGGAATGGTCGTAGAAAAGTGGATGTAGGCATTTGACTTCAATATTTGTACGTCTCTGGTAGACACATAATCAAAATAGAATATGTCTGTCACTTGATAAACCATCTGCCTTCTACAGCAATTGGGAAGAAGACCCCAAAAGAGATGTGGTCAGGGCATTCTACTAGAGATTATGAGGACAAGAGAGTATTTCAGTGTTCAGTTTATTACCACTTGTAGAACGATAAAAAGGAACCACGATCAAACAAGGTGATCTCTATTGGCTTCAAGCATGGAGTTAAGGGCTTCAAACTATATCAGTCAGAAAGAAAGGTTGTCACTAGCAAGTATGTTACATTCGATGAAACAAGCTTGTTGAAAACCTGGACTCAAAGCAGGTGGAGAGTTCTACTGGGACCATAGATATGCATCAAAAGTTGGAGTTTGATTCAGCTCACTCCATTTGTTCCACAAAGTTCGTCCACTCCGACTCAGATATTTGATTCAATGGCAACTCAAGAGCTATCTACTGATTGTGATCATGAGGAGGTGGAAGAAGATGTTGAGGATGAGATTCCCACTCAGGAATCTATTGGTAGGAGCATGACCAAACGCCAGATGTCCCAAAATTAGCTTGGTTGAGGGATCACATTGCATTTGCACTTTTAGCTACAAAGACAAATATTCATTGTGACTACAATGAAGCCGTGGAGAGCCAAGACTGTGATCTTTGGAGAGCGGCAATAAATGAAAAGATGGAACGAACATAATTTGCTTAATTTCTTAGAAGCTCTTTCTTGGAAAGAACATATGAATAAATTGCTTAATTACAATGTCATAATATGTAAATGAGATTAAATTGGAAAGAACAAAGAGAATGAAAAAGTGAACCTTGATTATTACTAGCATCAACAACATAAGCAATTATACTAATAACATTATTAAAATCTTTTGAACTGGCATTATGAATATTCATAATTTCTTATTAGTGTTAAATGTTATTTAATGAATTAGATTTAATCTTCACAGATCATGTTGAACATATATGATTAATCAATTCCAAATTAATTTTTCATAAGATGACAAAATGTGAGTTCAAATCCAAATCGATTTCTAATCATACGACCGTTATAGATGATCCGAATGATATTAATTCATATAATTAGCTAATTTCTTAGAAGCTATTTCACATAATGTATTTAAATTTAAGAGAAAGGGACTCCCATAATACCCCCATATGATCATGATTTCTACTATCATATAAATGATCCATGTTTTTATGATTGCAAGGTGCAGCAAAGAAAAATAATTATGGCTGCCGACAGAATTAGAAGAAAAAAAATATATGATTCCAAGACACTATTAATACAGGGCATTTACATACAAAGCACACAATTGTTATGTATTTACATATCTCACACCTAATCTTTAATATTTTCTACACACATAACACTCAATTCAATTCTTTGGGTGTGAGATGTATTAATATAAAAGAGTAGTGTGCTACGCATGTAAATTGTCCAATTAATTTAAGTTTAAACTTGTCAATTACTCTGTAATTGGAAAAAATATTACATCAGGACTCCGCACGTAGAGTTACGTGCAGAGTCCAATGAAGTCATGCCACATGGAGGTGACATAAAAAAAAAAATTGGCCCTATAACACAGGGAGTATTCCCGTCGTGTTATTTCGTTTTATTCAAGTGTTATTGTATGTTTTTCAGATGTTATTGTGTTCTGAAAATATTTCCGGTGTTATAATAACACAATAACACATCAATAACACTTGAATAACACACAATAATACCTGCATAACACGGGAGGAATATTCTCGTGTTATTTGACAGACACATGAATAACACACAATAACACCAAAATAACACAGAAGGAATATTCCCTTGTGTTACTGGGTAGATTTTTTTTTTCCGTCACCGCCACGTGACGTGATTTCATTGGACTCCGCACTTAACTTTACGGGTGAAATCCTGATGCAATATTTTCTTTTATAATACTTAACTTTACGTGCGGAGTCCTGATGCAATATTTTCTTATATGATACCCGATTACAAAATTCATTTTTCACATTTAATTACTACATGTCATAAAATTCATCAATTTGACATTTATAATTGTAACATCTTAGTGTCATAAAATCATGCATGAAAAGATGTATTTCAAACATAGCAAATAATATTTTTTAAGTGATGTTAAAGCTTTGAGTAATATTCATAAAAATATTAGTTTAGGTGTTTGATATTAAATACATAAGAAATGAGTGGAAGGCATGTAAATGCCCTTCTTCTTCTTTTTTAACTACAATAAAATAATTGCAAGAAATAAAAATAAAAAACTTTTAGTTGCACAATGCCATTTCAAAAACATTATATATGTTGCTTCCACAGCTAGGTGATTGACTAAAACAACAGATAGGCAAGATGGGTATGCCTTTTGTCTGTTCATAATTGTCCAATGACATAACCAAACATTTACCAGAGGTATTTATAATGCAAATAGACCCACATCAAATATATCTCATGATATATAAGAGAAATGAATCTTGTGGACTTCCTCAAATGATGCCCAAATTCTCATTGAAATAAAATGTACAAGTCCACATTTAAGTTCCAAAACTTCCTAAATCATACATAAATAAGCAGCCAATAAGAAATATAACAAAAATATGAACTCTTAAATCTTATTCATCAAAACTTATTGCAATGCAAATAATAAATCATTTCAATACTTCTCCGCAAGCCTGGCAGTAACAGCCCTGAGTTTAGAATAAACTTTGCCAGCAGGAGATCCCAAAATAAGGCTACACAGAGAGTCCCTAGCAATCTTAATATTCATAAAAGAGCCCAAGACGTGTATCTTGGTATCAGCAATTACTATCCTGGTCCTGGTAGAGTTCTCGATGGCAAACTTTGTTTTGCCGCCTTTACCGGAGAGCCTGCCGATGGCTCGTGAGAGATGTTCGCCTCGAAGGGTTTTCACGTCCTTGATCTCGAAGGAGTCGACATAGAGGTCGTCCAGACGCAAGAGAGCGAGCGCGTCCGCAATGTCGAATCCGAGCATGAAGGCGTGAACGAAATCGGCGCATTTCTGGAGGTTGCTGATATCTGGTGTGTCGACTCGAGTCTTCAACTCGACTCTCCGAAACTACAAGGTAGAAACACAAAATCCATAAATGCTAATTAAAATCCATACGGGCATAGAATGTAAGTTGGGAAAGAAAATAGTTGTTATTTTCATAGTGAAATCCTAATTGATTGCTCTAATCCTTCTAGTCTACTTCTTGATCAAGAAAATGATGTGAAGATTTTGAAAAGATGTTAATTCATTATAGACATGTGAGGGTTGACTCTAGCGATTTGCAAAATGTGCAACCGAACCCAACCAAACAATAGTTTGGATTGTTTATTTCCGTTTGGTTGTGGTTAAACCAAAATTAATTGTAAACCGTAAAGTATTCACCACCCAATTCCTATATATTTATATATCTAACACCTAGAAACTAAATGAACGAGGCATTTACATACATACCACCAATTCCTATGTATTTACATATCTAACCCCTAAAACTTATTTATTACATTTATGCCACCCAATGCTTTCATATCACATCAAAAATATGTAGCAAGCAATCAAAAAATGGTGGCTTCTGAAATTTTATTCTGAACATCTTAAGTGAAAAAAAAAAAATACTACCCAAATGGCTAAAAGAAGCTAGTAAAGCTAAATTTACATTACTCAAAATGATAGAACCAAAAGGTTGCAACATACAGGAGCATTTTTCTCACGTGCATATATCAATTTGCCAGAAATGCAAAAACAAATAAAAAAAGAAATTAAATAGCTTACAACTAGAAATTATAACCATAAGGGATGTCATCAAGAAGCATAAACATAAATAAGACAATCTTATAGCATTTAATGCAACGGAGAACAGGTACAGTTGGCTTAAGGAATGCATTTGATGACAAAGGTCCATGTTCTAAGAAGGCCATGCTGTAACATTCAGAAGACAAATTTGTCCACGGGTCTTCTGAACGACAGCTTCAAAGAGCCAAGTCTTTCAAGGCATATCAAAGACAACCAACATGAACAAGCAAAAAATTAAACACGCGAAATTTATAGCAGTAAAAGCAATCGAGAAGAGGCATGCTTAGCACTCTAGGGACAAAATAGATGAAAAATTCTAAGTTATAAGAACAAGGGAGGCCATCATTGTACTTATTATCATAATCTTGGACGGATTTGTCCGCAATGGAAAGAAGCTTTTCAGTTTTCACCAGAAGCATTAAGATTTCTTCAAAGTTTAGATAAATGTAACACAATAATTGATATAGGATAATGTAGGAAAAAATATGAAGAAAGAATAATACATTGACAACAACAACAATAACAACAAGAAGCCTTTATCCCACTAAGTGGGGTCAGCTGCATAAATCCTTTTTCTCCATTGCGTCCTATTGAGTGTCATAAATCCTTTTTCAATTAATTTTAATTGATTAAGATCATTTTTTATACAATATGCCAAAGTCTTTTTAGCTCTACCAATGCCTTTCTTAACATGTCCAATCTAAAACATCCACTCTCCTAACAGAATCATCAGATGGTCCGCATTTAATGTAAACAAACCAACTAAGACGACTCTCTCTAATCTTATCCGCCACCGGAGCTACACCAACCCTATCATGGATATATTCAATTCTCATTTTGTCTCCAAGTGTCAAGCCAGTCATCCACCCAAGCATTCTCATCTCAGCAACACTTAACTTTGTTTTATGCCTCCCTTTTAAATGCAAACATTCCACGTCAAAGAGCATTGCAGGTCTGACAACCATCTTATAAAATTTTCCTTTCAATCTAAGCGGTACTTTTCTATCACACAAGAAGCCCGATACATTCCTCCACTTCAACCAACCAACTTGAATTATACTAAAAACATACCCATCTATATCACCGTCACTTTGAATTACAGACGCGATATATCTAAAACGATCACACCTTTTAATGATTTGATCACTCATAGTTACAACTCCGCCATTAGAGCTACTACAACTAGAATTACATTCCATGTATTGAATTTTAGATCTACTCATATGAAGGCCCTTCTAAATCCAATGTAGACCTCCACAATTCAAATTTTTCTTGAACTCTTTCTCTAGTCTTATCCACAACTAGAGAAAAGCAAACACCAAGGTATATCTTCCTATAAATGTCCAATAAGAGGATCCAAAACTAAAGCAAAAAGATATGGAGCTTAAAGCTGATTTTGATGTAATCCAACTAAAATAGGAAACTATCTAGTCAATCCTCCTGTTCTAACACAAGTAACAGCTCTAGCATACATATTTTTTATGACTTAAAAATAAGTCATGTCAACATTTTTCTTCTCTAGAACTCTCCAATGAACTTCTCATCGCTGAAATAATATTGACACCTAAATATTGACAGCTAAATAGTAGTTCTCATCCCTTAAAGCTTTGCCAAATATCTTGAAACCCTCAGTCAGAAAATTATCTACAAGCAATTGGCTTGTTCTGCTCAGCTAGACTAGGTTTATTAGCATGTTTCACTTGTAGGAACTATAGAGATAAAAATAAGGCCCAAAGGCACACTATATGACTTTTTAATGAAAACATAGACTTGTCGGTAGGGCGGTGAACGAGCTGATTTCGAGTAGAACCAAAAGTGACTTGAAATCGAACGAATTGGTAATATATGGATCGAATTTGGCACATTGATCGAACTAATCCATGTTCAATCCAGCTCGGATTAAAAAAGGGCGAGGGCGATTTTCAAACCAGCTTGAAAAACAAATGAGTCAGCTCGAATGTCGTTTTTTGGCTCATCAGCTTGATCAATCCAAACAAAAAATCGTTTCAATCCGGCTGAAAAAACCTATTTGATTCGGCTAAAAACCCAACTTGATCCAGCTTGAAAAACATAATGAGTCAGCTCAAAAATTTAATGCAAACAAGAATCAATTATTATCATAAAAAACAAAAATTAAAATACACAAACAAATACTTAACACAATTTTTTTGCATTCAAAGAGTTCACAAATTACAAACAAACTTTCATGAACTTTCTTGATAGCAAATATTGAAATTTTACAATAATTTGGATTCGTTGATTTCATTAAATTATCAAAACCATAAATATTCGACTATCATGGGCGATTATCATGAGACACACAAAGCAGAAATAAAGTCAGTGTCGTCAATATCCTCAGCTATGATCAAAAAGTTTTTTATTATTTTTCATCTATACTATCAACTTTATTGTAGTGACTTGTTTTGAAATGTCCGCTCATTTGAGACGTGCTAATTTTTTTAATAACCATAAGACTTAACATAATAATTACATAATTACAATTCCATTTTTGTATAATCTTTCCATTTTTTGTGTTAGATTTTTCTATAAAATATTGCCATACCTCTGATATCTACGTTTTATCTTTTTTCTCTTCTACCATAGCAACTTCACTCGCACTCTCATTTTGAGTTATTACATCTACATTAGCAAGAGGCCGACTTGAACATCTATTAAATTACTGTGAGATTGAGCTGTCATTGCCTCTAAAAATCTACATATTAAATTAATAAAGTGTCAAAATCTAACTTGGATGCATTCGCTGATTTGCATCAAAGAAGACAGCATAATTGCAAATGTCATCTAATGGTTACGGCTAATAGTAAAGCATTATTGTCCGCAAACAAAAAAATAGATCTTATTAACAACTCAATGAGCTAAAAGGGGAAACCAACAGTGAAAGAGGTGTATCCTTCCAAGTTTCAATACAATTACCCTAATATGCAATCATAGCAATTATTTCCAACTAAAACTAGTTAGCCTAGTTGCATTTACAACAACCAATGATTGTAGAGAAACAACCATACTTTCAAGAAAATTAACTGTCTACCAAATAAAATAATAAAGATAACAAATACTTTCAACTCTTTGTCGATTGTTGTTCACAAAGTTCTAGATATGTAAATACATAACAATTAAGTGGTGTATATGTAAATCTTACTTCTTATTTTTATATAAAATTCTAAATGAATGAATAACAGCCTTTTGTTTATGTAAAAACAGACCTTCCAACTCTTTGTCGTTCACAAAGTTTTTAGCAAAGTACAACTAAATCAACAATTTAGGGGACTAGTCGTGCCTTCACTTAAAAGCAATGGAAGAATTTAGGTGAACAAGCTTCCATCAGTCAAATCCAAAAATGAATTTAAGGTCGTGAATCGGGGAAAAAAAAAAGATCAGCCTGAAACCAATTAATCAAAGCTTTCAGATCACAAATGAATGACATCATTTTACAAACCCAAATGTAAGCTCCATATCATCCTCTACCCCAATCTCATGAATCTGCTCCCCCTCCCATGACTTCACCCTCATGCTCTCAAACTCCTTCACCGTCATGCTCTCAAACTCGAACTCCACCGTGCTCAGGCTCCTTTCAATCATCCCTCCTGCAACTGCAAGTCTGCAATCACAGCAGAATCCCTAACATATTTGCTTGCTTGTTTTTTCTTAAATATCAAAAAGTAAATGAACACCCTCTCTAGCATATTTGTTTCCAAATTGCAATACCAGATAACCGCCAAGTAAAAAATAAAAAACATGGTATTAGAAATCAGACCACAAATAACATCAAAATAGTTTGAATAGTGATTGACACCATGCCAAACAAATCTTTACCATTTAGAAGGTGCTTGAAAGTCTTTCGAAAGGCTATCTAAAACATTCAATCTCATTATAACTAATAAAACAATTACTGATTTAATGAAGAATAAGGTGCAACCTAACACTAACTCACAAAGTCCCATAAATTTCCATTAACCAAATTCTCTAGCATTGCTCTATGCACAAAGGAGGCCAATAGATAACCTAGTCTAGCAACTGATAAATAAACCAAATATTCCTGAGAGCTTCAATAACAACAAAAATGAAATTACCCTCATTGCCAACTGGATAAAACATATAAACCTTTAACAGAACAAATCAGAGATCCAACTGAAGGAAAAAGTGAGAGAACATTTTCATATTCATAAACATTAAAATTACAACTCCTCTCATTATATAGAATAAACTCTAGGGCAAACATAATTCCTACAATTACAATTTACTAAAGATTCAACAAA